CAAATTTATCCTTTTTTGGACAAAGTGGTGATATAATTGCAAAAGAAAATAGGGGTGTGGCACGCTTGCAAAGTATTCACTTATTTGTGGCATTTTTGCAATTCTCTCAAATTTTATATTGAGGTGCTATTTAAAATTCAACTTATTAATTGTGTCTTGTATTTATGGCATGGGTTCTAGAAGAAAGTACACAGACAAAGAAACAAATTCCAACTATGATGAGAGTAAAGTAAATTCCTAATTGGTGGGCACATCGAAAACGTGGGGCCCGGATGCACTAACTTGAGTGTCTCTTTCGCTAGTTTTAACAATTTTTACTTGTTTAATTACGAAAACGCCACTCTTCGTTGGAAAATGGAAAAGATTCCAATATGTAGAAAAAACAAACCAATAATGCAGTGAAAAAAAGGCAATAATAATGCAAGTCTATATCAAATTGTATTTAATCATATTCTCCATGTGGAACCATTTTTTATTTTGAATATGGCAATGGCATTAGATCTTATTCCTCCTACAAATGTCTTAATTAATTGTTTTGATTTGGTTTACCAAATATACAAAGATTTATAGTAATTTACAGTCAATTAAAAGAAATCCCAAATTTATATTTTTATGCTATTACTTTTAATGATATCAAAAATTTATACACCTTAACAATGACATTGACTTTACTCAAATAAAAGATCCGCATATCTTAAGTACAGCAAAAAAATATGTCAATAAACCATATTGTGATGACAATAATCTAGCTGTGTTATAGTATAAACTTAACAATTAATTTAAAGTTCTACTATATTAGAGTCACTTTCATTAAAAATAAATATTGTATCACTCACTTTCTAAGAAATGTCAAAATTTATGTTTTCTTTTTTTTTTAAATGACATCACATAAAAATCCAACCGTGTAATTCTGTTTTTGAAAAGATACATATATTGCATTTAATAAATTAATACTCACTCACACGTTTTGTGCGCTGTCTTCAAAATCAAACACTACTGGAAAAAACTAAAATATTATTATATTATAAAAAGACAAAACTGTCAACGAAAGATTTTATATTGGTTGATTCGAAAATCCAC